GGGTTGAGCTTGATCTGAAACCGGCGCAAATTCTCAAATGTCTCCTTGAGGTCTTCCAGCAGGGTGCCGCGCTTCTCCGTCTTCACCACGACATCGTCTACGTAGACGTGGGCATTTCTGCCGAGTTGCTTGAGGAGGCATTTCTGCATGCAACGCTGAAAGGTGGCACCGGCATTTCTCAAGCCGAATGTCATGGTCAGGTAACAGAAAGCTCCGAATGGGGTGATGAAGGCGGTCTTCAAGCGATCAGCTAGGTCCCACTTTATCTGGTGGTAGCCTGAGTAAGCATCCAAAAAAACTCAACAACTCGCATCCGGCTGTGGAGTCTATCACTTGGTCAATCCTTGGCAGGGCAAACAGATCTCTAGGGCAGGCTTTGTTGAGGCTGGTGTAGTCAATGGATATGCGCCATTGCTTGTTTTTCTTTAACACTAAGACTCGATTGGCCAACCATTTAGGAAAGAACACTTCCATAATGAATCCGACTGCTAGGAGCCGGGCTATCTATTCACCGACAACTCTTCTCTTCTCTTCTGACAGGCGGCGCAAGGGCTGCCTGACCGGCTTGACGTTAGGTAGGACATGTAGCTTGTGCTCGGCGAAATCCGTCGGAACACCCGGCATGTCTTTGGGAGACCATGCAAAGATGTCCCGATTCTCATGGAGGAAATCGATGAGCTCGCCTTCCTATTTGCTGTCAAGGCCTGTGCCCATGACAGCGTACCTCTCCGGGTGCTCCGTGTCTAGGGGTATCTTCTTTGTTTCCTTGGCCGGCTGGAAAGAACCTTGAGCTTCACATTCTTTGGGGTCAGGAGACAGGGCCGGCTGCTTGCCAGCCAAGGCCACAACTCGACTCAGCATCTTCTTCTCTTCGGCGATTACGAGGGACTCGGCCAGCCGGCTGCTGGCTGCTGCACACTCAGAAGACTTCTTGTAGTCTCCAGCTATGGTGATGATGCCCTTGGAACTCAGCATCTTCATCTTGAGGTAGGCGTAATGGGGCACAACCATAAACTTGGCCAATGCTGGTCGGCCAAGCAATGCATGGTACGAGCTCTCCAAATCCACTACCTCAAACCATATTGCCTCTCAGCGGAAATGATCTTTGCCCCCAAAGAGGACATCCATTTTGATCTTGCCGATTGGTGAGCAGGACAGGCCGGGTACGATGCCGTGGAACACAGTCCGGCTTGGCATGAGTTGCTTCGGCTTGATGTTGAGCTTCTCCATGGTATCTAGGTAGTATGTTGATACTGCTCCCACCATCTATCAGCACGCGGGAGAAACAGGCAGCACGCCTTTCTGTCGCAAGGGTGGCATCCAAAACCAAGGCATCGGAGCCAGGAGACGGCATCACCTCTGGGTGGTCGTCCCGGCTCCAGCCGATGGGCTTCTCTGACCAGTGCATAAACTCGGGGTTACTGGAGGCGACCGCGTTGACTTCTTGCTGCTGTCGGCGCCGGCTGCGCCGATCTTCTGTCTGGCTGGTGAACACGACGTAGGCGGCTTGCTCATCGGGGAACTCGTCTTGGATAGCTCCGGCTGCTGGCCGAGCGGCCGGCTGCTGTGGGGCAGGAGGCGGCTGGCCTGCAGGCGGAGGCGGCAACAGCCCCTCGCCCTTGGGGATTCGGGTGAGACAATGGCACTTCCGAGTTGTGTGGTTGGACGGCTTCGCGCCGTTGTGGAACTTGCAGGGGGCATCAAGGGTTTGCTCGTAGGAGAAAGCCGGCTGCCAAGCCGGCCTGCCGCCCTTCTGCTTCTTGGTAGCCGGCCGCCCCTCACACTGCTCATCTTCGACTGTAGCCACCTGCTGGCTAGTGGAAGGCGGCATAGGGGCCTTGCGTTTGTGGTCGCTTTGATACGGGCGCCAGCTTCATTCTCCAGCCGGCGTCTTGGGAGCCGGCGTCAACACTTTTTCGGAGGCGTCTACCCGGAGCTCAGTCTTCATTGAAGAGTCGGCCGTGGCATACTTGTCTGCGATGATCAGTAGCTCATCGAGGGTAGCTGGCTCGTCGCAGAGGAGTCAGTGCTTGAGGAGAGTGCCCTCTCGGCACCCGGCGGTGAAGTACTCTATGGCCTGAACTTCGTGCACCCCTTCGCAGGAATTGCGGAGCTCGGCCCAAGACGTGAGGTAGTCGTGGGTCGATTCATTGGGCCCTTGTACGCACAAGGAGAGCTGTCGGGGCTTGGGAGCCCGTTTGTAGGTGCTGGTGAAGTTACGTATGAAGGCTTCGGTGAAGTCCAGCCAGCTGTTGATGCTATAAGGCTTGAGGCTGTTGAGCCAGGTGCGTGTCGTGCCTTGGAGCATCAGAGTGACATATTTCATGGCAACGCGTCTGTTGCCGTTTGCTATGCGAACTGCGGTGGAGTAGTCGGTCAACCAATCTTCCGGCTTCACGGAGCCGTTGTACTTGGGCGTGTCTCTTGGGAGCGAGAACCCTTTGGGAAAGGGCTCGTCGCGGATGCGGGGCCGAAGCAAGGCGGGCCGACATCATCTTCTTCTTCCAGGGCCAGGGATCGTGCAAGGCGGTCGATCCGATGGCGGGCATCATTCTCGCCGACTCCTTCGCGGCGACCAAGTCGTCCGCTGAGAGTCGGATGCGCGACAGGCGGCGGGGTGGGATATCTCTCCCCGCGAGGCGGAGGAGTAGGCGGGTCGCCTCGTCGTTCCACACCTCAGGGATGGCCTTCTGCGTCGCGCTCGATGGTGATTCGAGTCCGGCTGCGGCTAGCAGCCGGCTCCTTCTCTTGTCTTGTACGGGCGCCGCCCATAATCGGCGTACGCGACGTCGCGTCGTCCTCTCGGCGAGGGGGGCTTCCAGCTCGGACGCCGGCTTTGTGCCGCTCTGCGGCCGCGTCGATCAGCTGTTGGATGCGTCTGGTCATGTACGGGAGCTCGTCGGCCCCCAGTCCGTTTAGCTCATCTACAATCGACTGGGCGGCGCGTAGATTCTCGAGGGGCGTGGCGTAGACCGGCTGGTCCGCTCCCAGCATGCTGGCGATGGCCGCGCCGCGTTTCTTGACGCTACCGACTCGGCTTGGCCCTTCTGGAGGCGGCGTGCCGAAGGCGGCGCGGTCGACTTCGCGCTGGTGGGCTTCCGTGAGGCGTCTCATGGAGGCTATCCTCTGGCCCTTCGCGAGGAGGGCAAGGCGGCGTGCCTCCAGCGTCTCAGCGTCAGCGTCCGCCGGGATGGGGGCAGACAGATAGTGCAGCGTTGCCTGCAGGGCGTCGCGGGCGTTCTCGTCGGAGGTGACGCCGTGGCTGATGACTAGCACTTCGGTGACGGTGCTACCGCCACTGTCAGCTCGAGGGAGAGGGTCGTCGGAGATGATCACGTTGGTGGGGAAGGCATCAAGCGATGCCGTGTCGGACTCGACAAGCATCGGGTCGGTGGAGCCGACCGACTCCAGGTCCGTGGTAGGCTCGCCGTAAACGTGGAGCTGGTCGAGGAGGCTGACGAGGCGGCTCTCGGGGCAGCATGTGCCCGCGTCGGACGCGGGCTCGTCGGAGATGCGAGCCTCGCCAAGAAGATCAGTGAGGCAGCTCGCTGCGCAGGCGTCTTCGATGCTTTGCAGCGCGTCGGGGCAAACACCATCGGGCGTGCCGGGCTGGCTACGCTCGCTGGGGAGGAAAAGGGTTCCCGTCCAGAGCAGGTCTCCGGACGACGGTGCACCTGGCCCCACGGTGGGCGCCAATTGTCGGGTGGTAGGTGCGACATATGCCAACGGATGGCTTATCATTGTGGGAGCCAGTAAGACATCGCCGGTGCCTGGAAACGGGATAAGGCGAAGACATGCATGCCGGCGGATCTTACCCGGGTTGGGGGCTCTCTGTGGAGATAATATCCCTACTCCTGCTTTGGGTCTCCGCATGATCACTAGATTGATAAGAAGCTACAAGAGGCTCCTTGAGCTGTTCGGTGGGAGGAGGAAGAAGGGCAAGGCTAGCTCTCTTCTCTCCCTGTGGTGGTGTCTAAAACTCTTATCAGATCAACCCTTTGCATGGGTGCCCCGGGGGGTTTATATAGGCCTACCCCCTGGGGTACAATGGTAATCCGGCTGGGCATGGGCCCTAGCCGTCAGTGTCTGTGGCCGCCGGCTTCTCCGCCGGCTGCTGGGGCCCGCCGACTGGTGGGTCCTGCCGGCTGCCGGGCCATTGGTCGACAGGCCGGCCCCACCGCTTGGGGGTCTTGTCGGGGGCTGGTTACTGTGGCCTCGCCTCTGATGATGAGGGCTTTGTCGAGGTAAGCATGGCTACAGTGCCGCCACCTTGCGGGCTCTCACTATAGCCTTACCTCGTTTTGTCTCCTTAATGGTGCGCGCGCCCCGAGGAGGGGAGCAAGTCGGCTATAGGAAGCCGGCCCGGCCTCAGGCCGGCTGGGGGAGGCCAGGCCGCCTTCGGATGTCTCTCTGACCGAAGGGGCCCGCCGCCTACGGGCCGTACTGGCAACCCGTCGTGGATGGCGTGATGATCTGCATGGCAACAGTGCCACGCCAGATGGGAGATGGCCGCCCCGTACGGTGTACTGTAGCCATGCGTGCTCCGGGATTCGGGGGTGGCAGGGTTCACTGTAGCCACGCCCCATCCCGTCGCTGTTATGGGGTGCAGACTTTAGGGTACGACCCATGGCCGCCTGCCAGGGGCCGGCTTCTTGGAGTCGATCTTCTAAGGCCGGCTTCTTAGAGTCGGCCCTTCGGCAGCCGGCTTCTCAGAGCCGGCCCTATCGCGGCGTCCCCCAAGGGAGCTTATGGCCGGGCCGCCTTCCGATAGTCGGCCTAGGTGATAGCCGGCCGGAAGAAGGCGGCCCCGTGTCTTGGGTGCTTCAAAGCTCGGTCGGCCCATTGTTTTTTCTGAGGGCCAAAGGGAGCCGGCTAGGCTACCCGTGGTCATTTACTCCGACAACGGGTTGGATGGATGGCCATTGATGTGATGAAGCAATCACTGGCTGCTCTGAAACTCCTGAGTTTTTGTATTTTGTTGCCATAATTGTACACATGGATCATACCATCAGATGTCCCAGCCACAAACCATTTCTTTCTTGAGATGACCTTAACAGAATGAACTCTATTGAGAAGAGTGATCGTTATATTAGCATGCAGTGTGTGATGATGGAAATTAGGGAACTTGGTAAACAGAGGAGCCAGAAAGATAGGCATGCCTTTATTCGACAATGAGTAAGAAGGCATGATTGACTCCTTTGAGACATTAAATGAATCCTCCGTCTCTGCCGGTAAATACAAATGACAGTGTGAGTTGAATGCAGACCGAGTTTTCATTTGCTAATACAAATTGAGCTTTTGTGTGATATGCGTTTGGCAACGATAATCGGAAAGCTGTCATGGGAAAATATATCGGTACAGCCGGTAGCATCCGGTATCACCAAAAGGAAAAACATCACCCTTCTTCGATGACAACATTCTTCAGCAATCGCCAAAAATAATGACATGGTACTCCCTCCATTCCAAAAAGCTTGTCGCTCAAATGGATGTATCTAACACTTAGGATGGAGGGAGTAGTATTTACTATAGAAGATAGAATGCATTAACTTGCCTGCGGGTCATAGTTCCATATACAAACATCTCCGTGCTGATGACTTGTTACAATGCTGTGTGACAATAATATATTTATCATAATCCACATTCATTCATTCATTTGAATGGAGGAAATTAATATTCTGGTGCCCATATTATATATGCTATTCACTCACCATGGCTCGGTGGGCCGTGCATCAAGGGAGCACAGCATGCCATGAGTATTCTTCAGGGATATAATCCATTGATCCTGATCCAACAGAAGACAGTGTCAACATTAGAATGAAAAAACTAGCTCAAAATTGGAGCATGTATGCAGGTGAAAAGAGAACTCCGTACCTTTAGTCTTCTTGAGATTGTCTGCTACATCGTACGTAGTACTAATTAATACAATCAGTAAAGCAAATGCATGAAAGGGAAGATAACAAAAAGATACATCAGGGTACAATAGCATAATTCCAGTAGCTTAGCTCTTAGACCATGTGCAGAGACAGACATTACATCTTGTTCGAATGGTAAATATTCCGAATCGTATTGATTAAGAAATGACTGACCTCTGATGTTGTCGGTCCTTGCAAAGCAAAAACAGTTTTCAGCATCACCCCATGCACCGCATTCCCTGAATCTTTAGCTTCGTCGAAGAACTTGTCATACTTAGATTGGTCTCTCAAAGTAGGGATGCTTTTATCCCCTGACAGATTGCTCTGCAGGATTAGATCATACTCCATTTCTTCTGGTAGCCTCTCTTGCTGTTGCGCTGTAACAACGAGAGTGTAAGTAGAGGACTTGGGAGGCACAACGCCATATAGTGGGAGACTTGCGAAGCAACGCCAAGGCTTGATGCTCTTCTTCATAAGCCTGAATAATGTGTGTTCATCGGTGTTGGGTTCGACGGGGAAGCGAAGCTCGACAAGGTAGACGTCAAGTAGCTCCTGCAGAACAGCAACTCATGTTGTCAAGAGAATATTGTATAGTTAACTTCTTGGTGGATACTCCATATGGATGTATCAAATTTGATCAAGGAATTCTATAACAAGGTAAATATTTTTCGTTGTCATAACTAACTTGACCTCATCCAAAAGCTACAAGCAAGAGCAACCAACAACAAAAGTAAAGGAAAATACAGAAGCTCAAATTTTGAACATACCATTGTTCCCGCGCTTTCTGTTTCAGTAAGCCTATCAATTACATATTGTGCACTAGTTGGCCTTCTCTTAGGATTGCGTTCAGTGCACTGTAATGCTATCTCAGTGCATACTCTTACTTGTTGTCTCTGTGATTTCTCCAACCTATCGCTCCACCTTTCAAGTACCTGCAAATTTGCAATTATGAATTAGCATTTCTTTATAAAGATAATTTTATTAATGCATCAAGATAATGCATGGGGCACCTGACCTTGGCAACAACACTACATCAAAGGGATGTTGAGGATCCACACGTTAAAAAAAGAACATAAAGAGAGAAAAGAGAAAGAAAACATGATGGCTTCTTGTCATGCGGGTCTGCAACAATAATTTTCAACTCCAACCTCCTAGTTTTTGAACAACACCAGGCATCGAGAAAGGTCCTCCAAAGCAGGCCTTCAACAACGGAACAGTGTGCCAACATCTTCGTTGTCATCCATCCACTGAAGGTCAGATCAGGATTTTCATCAAGAGAGGTCAAAAGAATTCTAAGCACCGCCCTCGACAGAGAGGCACTACATGCATCGTCTTTACCAGGTGTAATCAATTTAAGCCCTGACCGTTAATATTTAAAAGACAACATCATTTATAAGATTAAAAAGCTGACTAGGTAGGTATATTATATTATGTGAGTAGGGTGTTTTGGAGCTCGGGCTGCATGGAGCCCCCATTTTTTTGATAAATTTGGAAGCCAAATTTTAAATTTTCAAGTTTCAACAAATTCTGAAAACAATTCCACATATACATAGGGATGTATTCTACATGTGTGTAAAGTTTCATGATGAAACCCTTTAACGTGTGAGCTAAAAAAACACATTCTTAGAGGCTAAAAACCTACAAATTTGTTTTTTCGTCTGTCGCCCACATGTTAAAGTATCTCATCACGAACATGCACTGTTCACTATAAAATCCACTGATTTATCCTTTTCTGTAGCTCACGTGTTAAAAAGTATCTCATCACAAAACTTGATAAACTCTCAAACCTTCATTTTGTTTCTCCCATCTTCCATAAGGAAAGAACAAAATATCCAAGTATTATTATTTTTTGTTCGGGTGGGTTCACTTCCTAACACTAGTAGAAAAAGGACCTAATATGAGACACATTAGTGCCGGTTGTGTTTTGAGCCGGCACTAATGTGTCCATTAGTGCCGGTTCCAACGGCTAGCCGGGCGTTCTCATTAGTACCTATTCGTGGCGAACCTATAGTACCGGTTCGTGCCACGAACCGGTACTAAAGAGGGTGGTGGCAAGGTGTTGTCAGTCTGGGGCCCGTCCAGCACCTTTAGTACCGGTTCGTGGGACGAACCGGTACTAAAGGTCGACGTACATAAACCCTTCGTCCCCCCGAGCCACTCTGTTCTTCCCCTTTCCCCTCACTTCCTCTGTTCTTCCCCCTCTCTCCTCGAGCTCCTCACAAATTTTGCCCAAAATTTGTCAAGATTTGAAGGCCCCCATCCATTCAAATGATCACAAAGGTTAGTAACTTTGTCCTTTCAACTCTCATATCTAGATTAGCTCTTGCAATGCTTTGTATAGTGATTAATTTGGGAGGAATAATTATATGTGCTAGTATTTGATTTATATGCAATTTGAGCACAAAAATAACACTTAGTTTGCATATGTAGGTGTGGTTTACTTAGTGCCTTCTAAATCTCCGTCGTAACCATCGTCGATCGCCCGCACCGTCCCGTCGCCGGCACCATCTTCTGGTGAGGCTCTTGTTCATGAATGTTTTACATTACCAAATTGATGTTTATGTGATTTGGATATATAGTTACTCCTATAATTATCTTACCCGTACGTTGTTTGTTATACATAGTGCCATGGTTTTGATATCCGTCCCCGTCGGCCCTCGTCCTTGTTATGATTCGGATGTGGTATATTCTCTTTTAAAACTAGTTGTTGCATTTCGTGTTTATGACAAATTATGCCCATCAAGTTGACATAGGCATTTTTATCTAGGAGGTATGTGAACCGGAAATTCCAACCGACCCTATTGTCGAGAGGTTAAATTTAGTTGAAAGAGAAAACGAGTATTTGAAAGAAAAATTGAAAATAATTGAGGGGGAGAAGATGGAATTGGAGTTGCATGTTGCCGATGTCGTCGATGATCACAAGATCAAGATGGAGAAAATGAGGTTGAAGATTAGAAAGATTAGAAAATATGCCATTGATAGTGTGGCTTGGTATCATTATGCTGTTGGATCAATTGTTACCTTAATTGCGATCTTCATCGCATTTGTTGTTGCATTTAAATTCTTTAGCTAGAGAGTTATTTGTATGTTGCATTTAATTAAGTGTTGTATATGAACTTTATGTATGAACTTTATGTATGAATTTGTATTAATTTGGTCTATTCGGTGTTGTGTAATGAAGATGAGCCGACAATGGATGTATGATGACAGATGCGCTCCCGAGTTCATTAATGGCGTGCATATTTTTCTGCTTGCCGCTGAGGCAAACAAGTGGGCGGATGGTTTTATGCCTTGTCCATGTGCTGGCTGTAAGAATGGTCACAGTTACTCTACGTCAAGAACCATTCACGTCCACCTATTTGAGTCCGGTTTCATGCCCCACTATAATGTTTGGACCAAGCACGGAGAAATAGGGTTATGATGGAAGACAATGAAGAAGAAGAGGACGACGACGGCTATCCTGGCCATGGGTTCCCTGAATACGATGATACAACAATGGGGAAAGAAGCTGAGCCGGCAATGCAGAAAGAAGCTGAAGAAGAGGCATCAGATGAGCCCGCTGATGATCTAGGTCGGGCCATTGCCGATGCAAAGAGAAACTGCGCAAGTGATCTGGAAAGGATGAAGTTGCAGCGCATGTTAGAGGATCACAAGAAATTGTTGTACCCGAATTGTGAAGCTGACAAAAAAAGTTGGGCACCACACTTGAATTGCTGCAATGGAAGGCAGAGAATGGTGTATCTGACAAGGGATTTGGAAAGTTGCTAGTAATGATAAAGAATATGCTTCCAAAGGACAACAAATTGCCCGAGAGTATGTATGAAGCAAAGAAGGCTGTCTGCCCTCTAGGGTTAGAGGTGCAAAAGATACATGCATGCCCTAATGACTGCATCCTCTACCGCGGTGAGTACGAGGATTTGAATGCTTGCCCGGTATGTGGTGCATTGCGTTATAAGATCAGTCGCGATGACCCTGGTGATGTCGAGGGTGAGCGCCCCAGGAAGAAGATTCCTGCCAAGGTGATGTGGTATGCTCCTATAATACCACGGTTGAAACGTTTGTTCCAAAACAAAGAGCATGCGAAGGCGATGCGGTGGCACGCAGAAGACCGTAAGAAAGACGGAAAGTTGAGAGCACCCGCTGACGGTTCGCAGTGGAGAAAAATTGAGAGAAAGTACTGGGAGGAGTTTGCAGGTGACCCAAGGAACGTATGGTTTGGTCTAAGCGCAGATGACATCAATCCTTTTGGGGAGCAGAGCAGCAACCATAGCACGTGGCCTGTGACTCTATGTTTGTATAACCTTCCTCCTTGGTTGTGCATGAAGCGGAAGTTCATTATGATGCCAGTGCTCATCCAAGGACCTAAGCAACCCGGCAACGACATTGATGTGTACCTAAGGCCATTAGTTGAAGAACTCTTACAACTGTGGAATGGAACAGGTGTACGTGCGTGGGATGAGCACATGGGGGAAGAATTTGACCTAAAGGCATTGCTGTTCGTGACCATCAATGATTGGCCTGCTCTCAGTAACCTTTCAGGACAGACAAACAAGGAATACCGCGGATGCACGCACTGTTTGGATGATACCGACAATATATATTTGAATAGTTGTAAGAAGAATGTGTACCTGGGACATCGTCGATTTCTTCCGAGCAGGCATCCCGTAAGAAAGAAAGGCAAGCATTTCAAAGGTGAGGCGGATCACCGGACGAAGCCTCGCCACCGTACTGGTGCTGATGTACATGATATGGTCAAGGATTTGAAGGTAATCTTTGGAAGGGTCTTGGCGGACAACCTGTTCCAAAGGACGCTGACGGACGCGCACCCATGTGGAAGAAGAAATCTATATTTTGGGACCTGCCATATTGGAAAGACCTAGAGGTCCGCTCCGCAATCGACATGATGCATGTGACGAAGAATCTTTGCGTGACCCTGCTTGGCTTTTTGGGCGTGTATGGGAAGACAAAAGATACACCAGAGGCACGGGAGGACCAGCAACGTATGCACGGAAAAGAAGACATACATCAGGGTCAGGCCAGCTACGCTCTTACCAAAGAAGAGAAGGAAATCTTCTTCGAATGCCTGCTCAGCATGAAGGTACCGTCTGGCTTCTCGTCGAATATAAAGGGAATAATAAATATGGTAGAGAAAAAGTTCCAGAACCTAAAGTCTCATGACTGCCACGTGATTATGACGCAACTCCTTCCGATTGCATTGAGGGGGCTTCTACCGGAAAACGTTCGATTGGCCATTGTGAAGCTATGTGCATTCCTCAATGCAATCTCTCAGAAGGTAATCGATCCAGAAATCGTACCAAGGTTACAGAATGATTTGGTGCAATGTCTTGTCAGTTTCGAGTTGGTGTTCCCACCATCCTTCTTCAACATCATGACGCACGTCCTAGTTCACCTTTGCGAAGAGATTAATGTTTTGGGTCCTGTATTTCTACACAATATGTTCCCCTTTGAAAGGTTCATGGGAGTCTTGAAGAAATATGTTCATAACCGTGCTAGGCCAAAAGGAAGCATCTCAAAGGGCCATGAAAATGAGGAGGTCATTGAGTTTTGTATTGACTTTATTCCTAACCTTAAGCCGATTGGTGTTCCTGAATCGCGGCATAAGGGCAGACTGGAAGGAAAAGGCACGCTAGGAGGGCATCAAATAATATGTATGGACGAGCATTCTCTCACTGAAGCACACTACACAGTTCTACAGAATTCCGCCTTGGTGGCTCCGTATATGGAGGAACACAAGAATTTTCTACAGTCCAAACACCCGGAGAAGTCTGACGACTGGATTACACGCGAACAAACGAGGACTTTCGCTGGTTGGTTGCAGAAACGTGCCCTGAATGATGGCGATATTCAAAATGACATGTACTCGTTGTCCCAGTTACCATCTTCGAATATAATGACTTTCAAAGGGTACCAG